CACCACAATCATCGTCACCGTCACCACTGCCGCCGCCACCATTACCACCACAACCGTCGCCATTGCTGTCTCCGTCGCTACCATTAACATCGGCGCCATCGTCATCTCCTTCGCCTCAATTTGTGGTGCCAGTAGGATCGCCAACAGGACATGAACCAGAAGCACCACCTCCATCGCCGCCGAAATCAAGTTCCTACGATTTGATTGTTCCAAGAGTGACACTTGGAGCGGTTTCTTTGGCCTTAGCTCATCTTATTCTTGGTTGAGTTAGTTTGTATTTTCGAAATGTGAGAATGTTAGGGGAGAGTTTGGTTAATTATTATTGATTAGGGTTGATGCGTTGATTTGTTTGGTTTAGGATTATATATACGTAGAAATGTTGTTGCAAATTAATAAGGTGGTGCGTGCGTGTGATTGTAATGGCATGGGTACGTATTTTTATTCAATTTAATGGTTTTGAACGTGCATGTGTCCTTGATTTTTATCATATTTTTTAAAGAGTTTATATATTCATGAAACTATTAGATAGAAGTAAGTGATGTGATGTGGATTGCAGAAATTCTTGATTTGAGATTGTAGATAAAGTTAGCAATTTGTCATGTATATCTCAAAATTTATCATGCATGCGTTTCCCACATGAGAGTTGCTTAGCCAAGAGAAGCTTGCTGAGTACGTTGCTTGATTCCTTACTAAAACTTTAGCAACCTTTTTCTATGTTATTATACGTAGCATAGGGATTTTTTTTTAAATTACATATATTGATATATCTATTGATTCTCTTTCTCATCTCTATATTTTGGATATTTGAAAATCAACTTCTAAACATTATTGGTTTGCTTGTGAGATCGAGGATATAAAGTAGCTAGGTAGCTTTTGTGCACGTGTACTTTTACAAATCTTTTAAAAATCTGCTAATTAAAATACGTTTACAACATTTGAGTTTATGTTCAATTAAAAAGAATCACGTCGCATGCTTATTAAAATAATTTTGCACACATCTCATCTCAAAGACAGAGTAACTCGTACTTTTTCGGGTTTTAAAACCATAACCGTTTCGTATATATTGATAACTACTAGTTCATACACGATATATACACTGATTATTTGAGGTGGGCAAAGTTATTATGCAAAAATCATATGTAATTAAGTACACAATGACATTAAAATGTTTGCTATTCGATCACTTGTTTATCTTTTATTCTTTTTCCCCCCTCTCCTCTTGCTCTAAGATTTGTGTAAAGAAATCTTTTTTCCTTATTATATGGAAAGAAAATATTCCATATAAATTAGAAAACATCCACTTACCATTGATAGATCTAAGTAATGAGGACCATTGAGTCAATACGAAACAAAAAAGTAGACAGATTAATATACTGATCCGAAGAAGTTAATCACCTTAGATGATTATATGTCCAATAGACTTGTTCCATTGTAAATTTTCCTCATTTTGCATTGTCTCATTATTTTAGAACACATATTAATTTGAGTTTAAGGGGCTGTTTGGTTGCACACTTTTTGAGAAAACTTTTTCTCAAAACATCTGACAATGTTAAATTTGTAATTAAAAGTTTTTCAGAGATTTCTGTAAATTGTGTTTGGTTCAACAAAAAATTTACAGAAATATTTTCTATAAAATATCAAAATCTACCAAATTTTACAAAAAATAATTTCCTCTCAAAATGAGAGGAAATCACCAGAAATCTGACACATACCATATTTAATTAAAAACCTACCAAATCTTGTTATTTTCTATAAAGTTATGAGCTATTTTCTTGTTTTGAACCAAACAAGCAAAGTACAAAAAACAAGAAAATTGATACTTTTTTATTTCTCAAAACTTTTCCTATAGTTTTTTAAGAAATACAAGTAAATCATATTTTAGGTGGAAAACATTTCCTATAATTTTTAGAAATTGAACCAAACACCCCCTAATATGATATGAGCTAGGTGATACATTAAGAAAGAAACTTTTGAAAACAATACATTTTTCGGAAGTAATTAAGTATTTTCTTCTCTTTTCCTTCCCCCCCCCCCCCCCCCCCGCCCCCTCGTTTATTTTCTTTCTTCCAAATACGGAGTTCATAGTTTGCCCCACTAAACCCCATGTCTTTAATTGTTAAACCAGACTCAATGGCATCCTTTCCCTTTTAAGACGGAACAAATTGAAGATTGTTCTTTCCCCTGCCTTTTACTAAACAATGTTGGCGCCATTAGAAAGAAAATTCAGCAAACAAACATGACATGGTAATGGTAATTTCAACTTTGGGAGGGTAAAACATAATTCCTATTTTTGTGGTTTGTTATCGATATAGCTAATTTTTAGCTTCTCCAATTTTTCTGGTGCCAGGAATTTTGGCTTAGTGCTAAGTGCTAGCCAAGTAAATCTCAGATTCTAGGCCCCTTTTCGCAGTCCTCGCCTAGGTGAACATCATAAGTGTTGCAAATTGCAATGCCGAATGATTAGGAATTTGAGATAAACAATATCGTTGACACAGGAATCGACCGCCTTTTGACCTACAAGAAAATGTGTTTTTCGTTTTAACACATACAACACTCCGTATATGGAATAAAAAATAAGATATAAATAACATACATACATATCAAGCCTAATGCTCTATTGAGTTTTCAGAAATACACTGACTTTATTTTGTTAATATAAGAAGAATTGGGGCTAGAAGTTCCTTCTCATCACCATTTTGAGAAGGCGTCGCTTTTCTCCTCCTTTTCCCCTCTTTTCCTTTTGTTTTTTCAAACTTCTAAAACTTATTTTATTGCAGGAAATTCGTCGCTCTCGCTTCCAGTCTATAAAAAGGAACCAGTGATTGAAAAAATAAAATAAAATAAAATGTAGCTTCTCTTTTAAAGATAAAAAGTTGCTCCATAAAAGAGAATTATTCGTTTTCAAACTCTTACAAGGTCCATGGGCTTCCCTTTTTACTCCATTTTTTAATTATTTAAACCTGGCACAAAATGGGCTCTTTTTGGGTCAGCCATGTGAATTTTTTGTTTTACTTTACTCATCTATTGCCACTTGTTTTTTACGTCCCTTTTTTCTTTATTTTTTTTTATCTTTGTTTTTCCCGTCAACAGTAAGTTGAGTCTGAATAATATTCGTATTTGACACTTGAAGCTATTATAACGAATATTCTTCAACCTATTATAACGAATGACATTATAAGAATTTCATTTTTGGAAATAAGAGAGAATTATCCGTTTCAAAATTCAAATTAAGTAGAGGTGAAAATGGGCCTTCAGCATTGTAATATTTAAATATTTTGGCCAGGTGTGTCGGCAAAAGGTTACCAAAAATATCATCCCGCGATCGTTATCGCTTGCTAGGAAACAGAAATAGAAATTGCTAAGATGAAAACTACCTGCTAAAAGCAGCTTATAATATTACTGGATTTGGGGTTGAAATTCTAAATTATCGAGATTTGTAGAGTTCATCAGCCACTAGTATTTGCAGAGTTCATCAGCCATTTGAACGATCCTAAACATTTAGAGCAGAGACAAATTAATAAGCCAAGGCTACCTAATATTACATATATCACATAATCAGTCAATTTTACATTCTTATTTGTAATGTTATTATTAGAGAATACAGAAAGGCTACACAATTTTAAACTTATATTCTTTTGTCAACTTTCTTCAAACTGAAAAAGATAGAAATTCTGTTCTGTTCGGTTTGGGTTCAAACCGAATAAACCGATCGAATCAACCAAAAATTAACAGTTCGATTCGGTTTTTATTAGAGTTCGGTTCGAGTCGGGTTGAAGCTTTTTCAACCCGAACCAACCTAATTGTATTACACATTCTAATTACTATTTGTATCCGCTTAAACACGACCCAATATAGTTCATATAAAGTTACTTCGCTGCAGCTTGATATCTTTTTCTCTCACGGGACCTAATAGCGATAAAGTACCACAACAATGGTGTCCTCTCCAATTCTAGGGCTTTTTATTATCTCTAGTTCTCTATCCCTTTCTATTACATATCGCTTCTTCTACTTTGGACCAATCCACTTTTGAAGTAAGAAACTTAAACCATAATGTTTATTCTAACATTTTCCTAATTTTTTTCCTCGATTGATACATTTTTGGATCAGACTTATAATTTTATAGAAACTATGTCCAACATCCAAGTTATTACATATTTTTTATTTACTTTGTCTATCAGATTGAGATCACTTTAATTCTTTATGTAAGTTTTCTCCAAAAAAAAATTATGTAATCTTTGGTAGGAATTAGATTTTTATTTCTACATCTAATATTCAATAGCATTTAATAGTTTATGAATTTTAATAAATTAAAGTATAAGGTCCCGTTTGGCAAAGGGTTAATGAAGAGGGGTTAAAGAGAAGGATTAATGTACTTAGTCCATTTGATAATCCGAAGGACTAAATTATTAATCCGTTAAATAAGTTTTATTTTAGTCCTTATGATCAGTTTTAGTGTTTGGGAATAACAATGATTTTTACTATTTTCTTTATAATTAGAAGGGTTAACTCTTATTCCATCTAAATAGGAGTATTAGTAAACCCCTCATTTTGAAGGGTTAACTCATTTTAACCCCTCTAGAGGGGTTAACTTAACCCTTCTATATTTTTTATGTTTGGCAAATTATGGAGGGTTAACTCACTTTAACCCTTATATAGATTTGTTATGTTTGGCAGGTTAAGAAAAAGTTAAATCTCCTTAACCCCTCACTTAACCCTTTGTCAAACGGTACCTAAGAGACTTATTTATTTCGTCAACAGATAAGAGGTGAAATTGAATTTAGTCATAACATTTGTATCCAAGTAAAAACCGAACAACCCGACCCGAACCGAACCAAATCGACTTGAATCGGTTCGCTTCGGTTTTGAATGATAGGCGGCTCAATTTGGCCAAAAAACCGAACCGACCAACCGATTGCGCAACCCTACTCCTACTTTTTAGTTATATATTTTTAAAGGATTATGTTCTTCTCTCTTTTGCTACATC